TTTTTTTAAAAAAGGAGGATTTAAAAAAAAAATAATACCCTTCATTTATGAATAAGTCATAAAAGGTTCATTAAAATCTGACAATTATCTGATTTTTGCAAGAATTTCCAAAATAATACGGTCTTCACCACAAATTTCTCATACAAATTTATGGCCACATGTTGATGCCAGAAAAACAAGATTTTCATTGGTTTCTTAAAGAGCCTGTTTATTTACCAATTATAAAAGATTTTTTTTTTTTTTACCAATTATAAAAGATTTTTTTTTTTATTAAACTCACAGGGAATGAAGCTTGTCGAGTATCTTGTTAAGTTACCTTTCATCTTTCCTAGGAAATGACATTGTCTGATGTAAAATATTGTAGCCATTTACATGTGCTCATATGCGGCATCTGGATGCCATCTATGATTCTAAATCTGCAGGTCATGACACTTTATGAACAGCCGCTTCTCAACTTTTGCTTCTCCCCTACTTTAAACTTAGCACAGGTCATTTCGATTGGTTGATCTGAGTAAAAACAAACATATGCTGCACCCATCTCCTCTCCTTTCTTTCTCATGCTTTTTCTTTTTCTTCCTTTTCTCGTGAAAAGAGGGTGTATATGTTTTTAAATCTCAATAAATTGTCTACTCACCAGTTATTACCAATGCCTGATGAGATGTGTTGTTCGCATCGAAACACGAATGCAACTGTGTATTATTTTTCAACATGTTTTTGATGTAATATCCTAAAATAAAGAATATTGCTCTACTTTGTATCGAGCCATCTTTTAAATTGAATGTTACGAACATTGGAATTGTACTATATTCATTCTCATTCTACACACACACACACACATATATATATATATATATATATATATATATATATATATATTTTAGGATATTACATCGAAAACACTGCACAATTGCAGTTGTGTTTCAATGCATATCAAATGCATCTCATCAGGCAATTGTAAATTACTGAAATAATATTGGTCTACGTTGTATTGAACCCTCCTTTAAGTTAAGTGTTACAAACATTGGAATTGTACTCAATTCATTCTCATCTTACCTGGATAGATATATATATATATATATATATATATATATATATCGGTCTCTTAGTCATGTATATGAGCGAGCTTGCCTTGGTACCCTAGGTCATTGGTCGGTCACTGTTTCTAACCTTACAAGAGGTTCTGTTGCTCTGACCTCAAGGTGGACACATGCACTCAGAGTATCGCACCTGAATCTTTCTTGGGTTATTTATCCTCTCATTAAGGTTTTGGTGTTATCTGCTTGATAGTCAGGGATCCGAACATTTCAGTAACTTTAAAGGTAGCTATTCTATCAGCAGGTGTATAATATCGAAACTATTGTACTGCCATTTTGTGATTGGTTTCTGGTTCATGCAGTAATTTGTGGTGGGGCCTCTCAATGACATGATGGGTACTGTTACAGCAGTAACTTCGGGTGAGTTAACCCAGGTTATTTATGCATGCATCTCTAATGGGTGTCTGTTTTCATTGCCTACTAGTTATCTCCCAAATCTACCAAATCAACCAAAACAAACATGAAAGCACTCAAATTGAAAACAAATAAAACTAGCAAATATAACCTCAAAAAGAAAAAAGTAGACCACAGGTATACTATCACTTACATCAATGTAAGGATTTTACATTCCAACTTCCCAGAAGTGAAATTCCATCTCCTTCAGTCTATACCTGACCTCCTGTTTAAAATAGCTTTCAATGCCTCAATCACATTGCAGGATCTCACAGTCTTACCAATTATAACAAAATACAACTGCATAAATTGTCATGGGCTTAGTGCCTACATCAAGGACAGATTTCCCTGTAGCAGGGGCATAGAAAATGAGAACCCTGACCTCCTGTATATATGTTTCTGTGTGGCACTTATCCATGGCTCCACATTCATATTTGCACTGTATCATCTTTAGGATAAATGGTCAGTAATCTTTGATCAAATATCAGAGAGGATTGACAATATCCTCACCAAATTTCCCTTGCCCAACTTTCAATGTGATTTCAATGTTCACCAGAAAGAGTGGTTAGCCCATTCTAACAAAACGGATAAGGAAGGCAGATATTGCAGAAATTTCTCCATCACATATGAATTAACCCAGATCATTGAAAAACCCACTCACATCCCAGATGTAACAGGACAGCAATTGAACCACCTCACCTCAATTTTCTAATATCCTGCCCTGACAAATACTCAGCAAAAGTTTTGCATCCCACTGGCAGATTATTCCCTAGTCAGTGTCCAAATTGACTCCAAATCAATGACATCCCCTGATTTACCGTTCCCTAGCTTGGTTTTTCACTATGCAATAGTAGACTGGGACAGCTTTCAGTCCTATATGAGAGAAGCTCCTCTCTCAGCCTTCTTCAAACATGCTGCCTCCAAAACTGCTTCCTGAAATGGAGTGTTTTATACCCCCCAAAATATTCCAGCAAAATCTAAACAGTCAGCCCTGGTTGATCCCTGAATGTGTTGCAGCCATAGCTCACTGAAACCACCACTTCAAAATCTATCGCAAGGAGCATGTAGTCTGACCCTTACTACTTTCAGAACAGCCTGCAATTGCTGTAAGAGGGCCCTGGAAAATGCAAAGTGCAGCTACATGTGATCTGTTCAGGCCAAGGTTGAAAAGAAACAATTGGATCTCGTGAAATCTGGAAGATTACCAACCAAATTATGAACAAAGGCAAAGTGGCTGTGTCCACTATTATAAATGGCCCAAAGGTCATATCTTCCTTTAGAGACAAACAAAAGCTCTTCGTCTTGATCTTTGCCTCAATCTCAATGTGAGATGACAAAGGCCATCCCCTCCCAAATTTCCCACATCTCACTGTGCATAATCTCAGTAATATACTTATTAAAAAGTCCCGACCACAAAAAAGCCACTCACTCAGACAAAATTCCAGTGGTCATCTTTAAGAGTATCAACCCAGAATTATTCCCAATTCTAGCAAAGTTATTTAACCACTGCTTCAAAGAGGAATCTTTCCCAAGCATGTGGAAGGTGGCAAGTCTATACCCAGTCTTCAAAAGCACAGGCAACTAATCCTCCCCCTCCCAGTATAGAAGCATTAGTTTCCTCAGTATCATCAGTAAGCTTTTTGAAGCCTTAATCAACAAGGTCATCCAGCACCTGAATAGGAACAATCACTTGTGCGACAAGAAGTATGGGTTTTGATCAGCCTGATCCATTGCTGATATCTAACTACCATTACACACAGAATTAGTGAGGCTCTTGACAGCACATATACCACAAGGACCATAGCCTTCGATATCTCAAAGGCCTTTGACAAGATGTGGCACAAAGGTTTGCTACACAAGCTACCTAGCTATGGAATCACTGGCAGAGTTTTCCCTATTGTAAAATCCTTCCTAACAGGTAGATCCCTGAAGGTAGTTATTATTGGCCAGTCTTTTGAAGCCCTGGTGGTCAATGCAGGCATCCTCCAGAGGACACTTCTTGGACCAACTCTCTTTCTGATTTACATAAATGATCTACCTAAGACATATTCTGATTACTTGTAAATGTCTATACAACGATATACAGGTGCACCTTGAAAAGTCTTGACGATCAGAGATTGGCAGCTGACCTCTCTTCTGATTTAACACTAACTTCCCAGTGGGGGAAAAAAACTGGCTGGTTGCATTCAATGCCTCTAAAACCAAACTGTTTACATTCCATCAGCACTGACCAGACCCCAAAATATTGCCAGTCATGACAAACAGATGTCCCCCTCAAGGCAGCCTTGTGCCTTGAGAGGATATTGGACCTCAAGCTCACACCTGACCTCAAGTGGAATTCCTATATACAATCCATTGCTAAAGATGCAGGTAATATGGTCAGCTCTCTCTACCATCCCAGTAAGTACCTGACTCTTCATGCTATCTTCTACCTTTATAAAAGCCAGACAAGGCCAAAAATGGAGTACTGTTGCCATATTTTGGCAAGAGCTGCCGAGACCTCACTTTCCACTTTTGATAGTTCAAAAGTGTTTCCATGTCATGAGAGAAGAATTATTTTCCAGATTCCACCCTCTCCTTCACAGTCAGGATTTGGTGAGTCTTTCATTGCTCTATTGCTACTACCATGGAAAGTGCTTAGTTGAACTGCATCTCAAGAGGATGTTTCCCCAATCACTATAATATTAACCTGTTCAAGTCTAGAGTCAACCGTTATCTTTTCCTCCTATCCATATAAACTACTGCTTAATGTAACCCTGTACCTCAAGTGGCCCCTGGACCTTGTACAGGTCTTTTGAATATATCTTCAAAAATTTATTAAAGAAAACAGACAAGTTATATGTATTATACTTTTATTTTATCAATTTTTGTTTTTTGGTGGATTAACTTCAATAATTGGTGTTAAGTGTGTAGGAACTGTCCACAGTTCATGTTAATTTTTGTAAAGTTTCTCAACTTTTGACTGACTTAAGTCATTATCAAAATTGAAAGAAGTTAACTTGCTTTTGTTATTCTTTGCATTTTTGTGTTGAATTTTAATTTTTGAATGATAGTCAGCCTAAGAACTTTTCAGTACTTCCTCATACATTTATATAATCTCAGACAACCAAGATTAAATATCAGTTTGTTTTTTTTTTTCTTTAAGCTTGCAGAATATCTTGTTCAATTCTGAATAATATCCATTTAGAAAACGAAACCAATCATACCTTTATTTTTTTTTCATTCTATTTTATCCTGGCTATGTCAACCCATAAATTATTTAATCACATCTTGGAATATTCAGTTGTATCAACATTTGAATTGTTTTAATTTTTAAAATAAAAATTGTCTTCTAATTTCAGGGCATTAGCAAAAAATGGATTTACATTTGTAGTTAGTTTATGAATGTGTCTAAGAGATTAATGATTGATGCAGTTTAAAACCTTTTATATACGTCAATCTTATATTTATCTGATGCCATAAATCAGGTAAATATAAGGATTTTCTGAATTCTTTTTTTTCTTTTTCTTGCAGATTTTATGCCAGGGATTCTGGTCTACTCAAATTCAAGATTTATGCTGGTCTGCAGGGGCGAAATCCTCCTCCAACTGCTCGCCGTTTGGTTGCCTTCACATTTCATCCATACGAACCATTTGCCATCAGTATTCAAAGAACTAATGCTGAATATGTTGTTAATTTTCATGTCCGACATGTAACTTATGAAGCTGATTGATGTTACACTCATTGTAGGACACAGCAACAAAAACCACCACCCTCTACAGTGGAAGGTGCAGGAAAGAAATACATCACCTAACCTTTGCATCCTTTAAATAATTTTCATACATACAAAGGCTCAGGTGTCCTTACGGTTAACAACACAGAAAATGGAATAGGCAAGCAGAGTTCAAAATCTGGTTGAGATAATTTGCATTTAATTCTTATTAAAGCCCTTGGTGAAAGGCAGGAACCTCTCTCTCTCTCTTTAAAATAGTAGGGTAGACTGTGCTCTCTAGCTTTAAATGGCAACCAGTCTTGGAGAATGACAACTCTGAATTGAAAACAAAAGGATTAGGCATGGGGCAAGTAACTTCACCCTATATAAAAAAAAAAGAAGAAAAAATTCTTGAAACCATAACAGCATCTATGCATTTTTAGCCCTATGGTTTATAAGGGGTCTTCAAGAATAAAGAATGTGCGCACACACACACAATTTTTTATCTACTTATATTGGTATGTATATGTTTGTATGTTAATTACAACCCTTTCTGATTTATTCTCAAAGGTTCATCACTTCTGTCAGTTCTTTTCTCAGAAATGTTTCTCATGACATCCTGATGGTCATTAACTTAACAATTTCCGTAGGTTCTGGCTATTAAAATTTTCCTTCTACTTTTAGAACTGACCTCCAACCTATTCTCTGCATAACTGGATCATCTCCATTTTCTTTTTTTCCAACTAACTGCTGTTAATGCTTTGTGTTTGAAGCTTTTACTTACTGATCTTGTTCACATGGCAGATGCAGCGAATCAAGCACAAAACTTGTCTGTAAAGAGAAGACTTTCTTGCAGATATTGTTGGTTCTTTCTTGCTATTCAGATTCAGACAGAACCAGAGAACATATTAAAAACATTAGAATTTGTCACACACACACACACACACACACACTCACACAGTCTTAGGTTCTAATGATGTAACTACAGTGCATATATAAAAGGATCTGAAGAAAATTTCTCTGCCCAGCTAAGAATGGATTCCATAAAAAATCCTGATGTTTAGTCATTTGGTCAGGTTTTGGGACGTGAGTTGGGCTAGGTATTTTTCAGCACTCTTTCATATCCTATGGCTAGTATAATATATACTAAGTGTGCATATGTATTATATATAAACATTCTATCTATCTATCTATATATATATATATATATATATATATACACACACACAATAAAATGTAAAAGTGCCAAGCACAAGGCATTTGCATCTAATATAAATACATATCCAATTTTTTTTTTTTTTTTAAATTAAACATTAACGCACACATTCATTTAAATCATACCAATATTTCTATAAAGTCATACAAATATGACTATACACACTGTCATATTTATCTAGTTTTATATCACTGAGTGTGGATGAGGTAAATTTTAAATGCACAGTTCTTTGTATGTGAGAGAGAGGGCCTTGCATAAAATTTTTAAAAAAAGAGTTTCAAAAGATAAAGTAAGTCCAAAAAGTTTGTTCATAATTGGTAGTCAATTTTACTATTCAGAATAGTGGTTGACTTCTTTTTTTTTTTTTTTTCATATTTTTAACAATGTTGAAAGGAAGATGCTAGCAAAGATCAGTTAACAAAATTGGCAAGAACTCAAACACTGGTTATCTGCAAGCATATTTTTCAGTTACATTTTATTCAAATTTGAAAAAGATGCCTAAAGTTTACATTTTTTAATATATTTTTCAATGTGTTCATAATAGGTAAACACATGCATATGCATTTAACCATAGTGTTTAGCAAAGATACATTCATCTACACATAAATATACTTCTCAACTGTTAAGTTTCTGTTTTCTGTTAAAAACAAAACACAAATGAGCAGATTAACTACTGAACTTATGTGAATATATGTGCATGTGGAATATATATATACACACAGATTTTTATCTTTTTGTTTTAGTTTTAAATTGATTTTTTTTCTTTTTTTTTTTTTTTTCTTTTTTGTGAGGTTTGAGTCCCTAGTTTTTTAACATTAAAAATTTTTTTTTTAAAATTGGAAATAAAAAAAAGGAAATACCCTAAATTCTGAAATCTAAGACTTATTCTAAAGGTGTCCTGCCCATTTGTTTACTGTTTTTTGTTTTATATTTTGACAATCTTTTACTCCCCATGACTCATAGCAATACATCAGTTTTACATGATTTTATTTATTATTTTCAATTGATCAGTTTTATTGTCTTTAAACTATTATGGCCTAAAAATCAATCTGGTGTTTATATTTTTTTTTCCTCTTTCTCTTGTGTATATTTCAGTGTTTTAGCATCACAATGTAGATGAGGATAAAAAGATATGTATATGAAAGTAGTAATGGTCTATGAGATAAAAAATAAAAATTCATCTTTATTTTTATATTTTAAATACTTAAACATACATCTGACATATAAAAAAATGTCACTTGCATCTATATTTTTTTTTGTATTTCATGTTGGGTGAAAAAGTCATCCTTTGAGAGCACCAGAAGTTGAATTTATAATTTAGTTTCATAGTCAACTACTCAGCTGAGGAAGAGGCAACTATTCAAACAAGCACTACATTAATTTTTAATTGTGAATCCGTTCTGTTGAATATTGTATAAAGAAATGACCAAGCACAATTTAAAAAATTGTATTAAAACAATTGAAGTAGCTATCATAATATAAACAGCCAACAAGTTTTCTCAAAGGCAAATTCAGAAGTGTATTCAGTTCAGTCTTCACTGGCTACCTCATGTTTGTAAACTTTTTCCCAGACTGAGCTAAATTTGATAAATAAACAATTTAACATATCAAAGTGCTGGTTTAATCTTGAACATATGCAAACTTTTTGTTCACAAAGAATACAAAATATTAAATAGAAAAAGGTATGAAAATTACAAACCAAGTCAAAAATGTAATCAATACACACACACACACACACACACACACACACACACCACAACAACAACAACAACAACAACAACATTTGATTAAGAAACAAAAGTGAACTTTAAATATTCCCAATTTTAGGACATCAGAGTTAGAAGTCCCACTTGGATATTTTTTTAAGAGAAATAATTCTGAAAATGGTGTTAACAAACAAAACAAAAATCCAATTTTGTTTGGAAAGCCAGTATGCTATTTGAAATTATCTTTACTCTTTTTGATTAGAAACAATTTGATGGAAATGGTTGCTATATGTTTTACAGTTTTTTAGAAGCTGAAATAGTATAAAGTGATAAAGTAATTACAATTTACATGGTGAGAAAATATTTGGATGTTCTCAAATAAAATAATATTACATGATATTGTTGATATGGCTGACAGTGTTGTAATGATTACAGAAAAATAAATGACTATAAATTTAAAAGGACAAAAAGGGGTTTTGAACAGATTTTCAGGATGTTTTGAGTGCCTACAAATATATGAGGCTAAGTTGACCAGCATCCTGTCATATTTTGAGCCTTCACATCAGCCATTACAGATAATAAACCTTAACCTCAAGCAGACAGAAAAAGCTATTTTGAGGGATTCTGGGTACACCCAAACATTTTTCCCCATATATAAGTTATATCCATTGATCCAAATCTAGTACTATTGCAAGGCCTGTCTCAGTAAAACATGTATTTAGTCCTTTTTATTTGCCATCTGTTATTTAAGTACTGTCTGTTCAAATGGTACACTTCTAACAATAAAAGGAGTTACTTGGAAATATATTTCATAACAATCCTTTTTTGTCATATTTAAATCTATACATATGTAATGGATATGTAAACCAATGCTACTAAGATAGGCAATGGAAAGGTTTGAACTGTGAAATACTTATAACATTTTTAATTAATTTCCACTCAACCGATGACCATATTTCTAATTTTTTTTTTTTAACCAACATTTATATTTAAAGGTAGCTTAATTTTTTTTCTTTAATCAATTCACCCCAAGCAAGGTGATAATGTCACTAAAACACAAAGGACTACTTGAAATGAAAGAGAATGAGAAGACTTTAGAAAGAACCAGAAATCCAATCCAAAACAGTAACCAAGAGCTAAATCTCTACTCCTTTTTAAAAGACCAGGAAGGAGTGTGAATCGGACAATAGGTGTACCTATCTACTCCTACTCTTCTTTGCTAATGTTTGTTCTATACATATCTTTGAATATCTAAACACCTGTTTTCACAAAAGAAAATTTTTCTTTTACTTTATATAAATGTTTTTTGTTAATCATTTCACCCAAGCAAGGCAATAAAGCTACTAGGATGTAAGGTGTTAATGAGGGTTAAGGAATGCAAGAAAAACTACTATTAAGCGGATAGGACAATAAAAGGACATAGTAGATAACATTGCATTTAAATCTTTGAAGATCAAAGTTGACTAGAAAGCAAGTCAGAAAAGTGTTCCACAACCATGAAGTGTGATAGAAGAAACTGTTAACATAGAAATTACTGTTACATCTAGCAGCCATTTCAACTGTAAAATGATGAGACCTTACCACCAATCTAGTACTTGCACTTAAATTCATAAAGCAGAAAGTTCATCAGAACAATTACCATGAAAGTATTTATACAAAAGGTACAGGAAAGATACGTTATGACATTGGGAAAAGAACTGAAGCCAAGATGCAAGGTCAGGCCCAATAGCATTGCAGATTCTTCTTTTGATTTTATCATGAATCTGTAAATATAGCAAGATCACCAGACCAGATGTGGTAATAATATTCAAGGCAGGGATAAATGTTGGTAGGCTTATAAATATATGTAAGATAGATTCGAAAAAAAAAAAAAAAATTGTCTAGCACAATATAGTGAACCAACTTTCTCAGCTGCAGATTTAACAATTGATTCAATATAATCTTTCCATTTCATCTCAGCTGAAAATCTTGGTCTAAGAAAGCACAATGAGTCACTCTCCTGGAGGTTAGCACCATTACTTAAAAAACTTTAGCAAATTTTACAATTAAATTTAAACCGATTTTTCTTCATAGACAGGTATATATCTAGGTACTTATAA